CATGCTGTTTTACACAATAGGCAGCAAATTAAAACACACAGAACAACCTAGATATAGATGTGACAACACAGAATAATCAAGATAAATAAATGGACTGTATACAATAGTACTTTTCAGCACACATGATGTTTCGCATTACCACATTAAGTCTTGAATTACTAGTTAACGGTAGCAGTGCTTAAGCCATGCTTTCAAACTACTCCTTGAATGCAGTTTGTTTCACATCAAATACATGCATATGATGAGATACTTGTTAAAACACACACACAACACATTTAGCAAAATTTAAACACATAGAGGAGAGAGGATACCAGAACAAAACAGGGGGATTTTTCAACTGATACCATTTTGCAACACTTCATTATCTCACTTGGTCCCCAACGTATATACCATTTTGCATATTCCCCTACTAGCTGTTACTGCATGAGCTATCAAAATGAATGTCCTATACATATACCCTTTATGCCAGATGTGTTGAGGCCCTATTCAGGCAGTAGAAAAGGCAGATACAATAAATGTGCCAGAAGAGGCAAGACTTTGCCTTTGGCCCCTCTGACAGCAGATCCATCACTATTCTCTCATTAAAATAAACTCTGTGAAGAGAAGCCTTTGCTCTGTCCATTGCAACTCTCCACATGATCCAGAATGCTGGAAAGTCAGTGTTCTAGATAACATGGTGAGCCTTCACAGATAGTCTTATTCTCTTCCAACCTTCTGTGAAGAATGTAGTGTTAGACAAAGAAAAATATGAAGCATTTTCTATACTGCATATATTATTTTACCTTTTTTTTTTTTGCTTAATGTCCAATAGGGCTAAGGTTTCATAGTATGATACGAGACACACCGTATTTTTCGCACCATAAGACGCACTTTCCCCCCCACAAAACAGGGGGGTGGAAAGTCTGTGTGTCTTATGGAGCGAAGAAAACAGATTATATTTTCCTGTTTTCTTCTCCTAAAAAATTGGTGTGTCTTATGGAAAGGTGCGTCTTATGGAGTGAAAAATACGGTACCTGGTTAGCACAAACACCTTAGTATAGCTATCTTTCACAAACAAATCATTTTCCCATTATAAGCAGCTGTCCATATTCCCCAGATATGGTATCACTTGAGGTTCAGAATGAGATATTGAAGGAACAGGCAAATTTTACCTCACAACAACCAGTACCGGAAATGAAAACAAACAAATCCAAGCTCACAAGACTTACGTTTCTAAAAAAATACACTATCAGTCCTGCCCACATCTCTACACACCCATGTCCAAATCTTTCTCCCTGAATTCAACCACCTGCAGCTAAAACAATAGTCACTGAAAAAGCAGTTGCCTTTCACAGGGCTTCAGCAGTTGGAGAAGACAAATTTGCACAAAATTCAGATAAAGGGATTTTAGGAACATGCACACACACACACACACACCACAATTTAAAAAAAAGATATCTATAAACAAATTTAACACTTAAGAGTAGAGTTCCTAAAGTATTGATGAAACGAACATTCAGCATCTGCCATGCTGGCTTGGAGCTTAGTCTAAAAATCTAACTTCTTCCAGTTTTGTATTACTTCTAAGGGACATATATGAGAATAAACAGATAGATGAGTTGAAGGCAAAGGTGAGGAAAGAAGGGGCAATGAATTAAAAAGCACTGGAAGTATAGCTAGTCTGGCTCAGAAATTGCAAGAAATAGGGGTCTCAAGGAAAGACTTGAAGGAGGAAAGCAGTTACTTTTGGCTGCTTCCAGATGGAAGGCTTTTGGCATTGCTAACCAAAAGAAAATGCGCAGCTACTCCATTTTCTCCTCCTTAACAGGACCAGAGAGAAAGGTAAGGCCAGAACAATGTCAGACATGTAAGACAGGCAAAGGTCATATTAAACTGCAAGAGTCTTGAAGAGACAAGATCGTCCAGATATGACTTTTTTTTCTGCCACTGGCCTGCTTACTTAATGGAATTGTATAGGGATGAGGCTACAATCTTCTGCTTGTACCTTCCTTTGTTTTCCCACTGCAGCTTCTGCATTTTTCTGACCACCACATTTAATTTTTTTAAAAGCCAAAAATGTAACAAAGGAGGAAGAAAACAGAATATTTGCACAATGTCTTCTGACTGGTACTACTAGAAGCAGTCGATCTGGAAACATGAACAAATACATGTAAGTAAATATAAGAGTGAAAACCACATGTGAAATACAGTGTAACAGAGACAGGAGACGTTAAGAAAAGAAGCATTTTAGCAGAGTTCCCTACAAAGCTCCCAAAAACATTACTGAAGAGATAGATTTTTGTTCCTTAAAAATAAAACAACAAAACAAAACCAGAAACACACACACACAATACAGTGGTGCCTCAACTTATGAACATCTCAACTTGCAACCATTTTGAGTTACGACCAACTCCGCCACAAAATTTTGCTTCGACTTTTGGCTAGAGCTTCAAGTTATGATAAAAAAGGCAGGAAAAAAGGCAGGAAATTCAAATTGCTAACCATTGGTAGGCAAAGAGGCTGCTTCTTTGTAGCTCTTTCACCCAAATGGTTAGAGCAAGTTCGATTGGAGAAGGCTTCGGACTGCCTGGTAAGGTAAGGTGCTGCTTTCTGAATTTAAAAAACTGTTCTGGGTGGGTTTTGCAGCATGGTTTTGGGCTGGAGTGGTTATTTTTCTGTGCTGTGATGGGTCTTCGGGGGTTTAATTGCTTTTTGGGTCCCCCCCCCCATTTCCGATGTATCTTGCATGCTTCACTTGCTTTCTGCTTTTTCCCCATTTCCGATGTGTCTTGCATGCTTTGCTTGCTTTCTTCTTTGCTTTTCCCTCATTTCCGATGTGTCTTGCACGTTTGGCTTCCTTTTCTTTTCCCCCCTTCGTCCGGAATGGATTAATCGGTTTCCGATCAGTCTTGCAGTGTTTTGTTTTGTTTTCTGGTGATTTTTTTTCTTCAGCCAGAACTGATTAATTGCATTTCAATGCACTTCAATGGGAAATGGTGCTTTGACTTACAACCATTTCGAGTTACGACCATCTTCCGGAACGGATTAAATTCATAAGTCGAGGCACCACTGTATGTACTTCTATTTTATCTAGTATGGGACAAAAGGTGCTGCAGTGTAGCCACAGAAAAATCTTCCAGATAGATAAAAATTACATAGATTCAAAATTATACAGCCAAGACACTCTCTTTCTCTGATTAGAGACCTCTAATTCTTGGACAGCTTTGAAACTGAATAAAAACTGCCAAGATATAAACTTCTTGTATTGTATGGGGATTTTCAGAAACTGCAAGCCACCATAACTATAATACCTCCACCTAGTTCCTTCTGAGCCAGCTATAACACTGCATGGGTGCATATGCCTTGTAAATACACTTCTTCAAATGTTCTAAAACAGCACCTATCAGTACTTGGAAATGATTTATGTATTCTTTCCAGTTCTAATCCTACATAAAAAATTTTTTAACAGAAAGGCAAGAACTAGAAAGTTAAATTACTGGATCAATCTTTGCTTCTGATAGCTTCTCCAAGTCTGCTCACAATGAAAACCATCAAGGTTATCCAGAAAGAAGCTTCTTGTATATCATATCAACAGGAAGAACCTGTTATGTTTCAGATATGATACACAAAAGCCATAAAGACCATTTTCCAGTGTATATTAGGTTGCAAGAAACCTCTTCTAGCCAGAAAATTTTCAGGTTTTTTTAAAGGTGTATCCAGTCATGTTAAATAGATTCTAGATTTTCCAGTGTTAAGAAACTCTCTCTTTTGATTATTATTACCTTAGAAGAGCCTGCAGCATAACCAGCACTGAAGAAGCAAAAGAAATTGCAGTAGACCGTGTCTTACCTTTCTACTGTTGGCATGTCTCCCCCCATTAACCAAAAACACACAACCTTTGTGAGCCAGCCTAATAAAATGGCTGCACTGCCAGCTGCGCAGGATCGCCATAGAGCTTCTAGAGCAGAACTCCATCCCGAGACAGTGCTTACACTGAGCGCATAAAAAAGAAGTCAATTTAATTGTAAAAATAAGTAACAGTGATAGATCATTAGAGTTCATCACGTGTTACACTGCATAAGCTAATCAGTTAAAAAAAAACCATCATCACCAACCCCCCCATAACACATTACAATTACTCTCTTTTATTTTTCCCCCAGAACCATGCTCAGATTCAGACATTTTGATCATCATAATAAAACAATATGCTAACCACATGGAATTTTAATTTTCTTTTCTTTTCTAAAAAATATTTGAAGTCAAAGGGATTTGTTCAGAGTCGGGGTAGGGGACCTTTTTGGTCTTAATTTACACATCCAGTGGTGGGCCTCACTGAGTTAGATTGCATTTCCTCTCAGTCCCCCAATGAGGGATTGAGGAGCGGGTGACAGAGCAAGGGAGAGAAATAATGCAAGCAACAGGAAACATACACCACAGAAGGAGAGAGGAACATGTAGCTTGACAAAACAGGGAAGACACTGTGTACAGAAATACAAGACAGGATCTGAAGCTAAGACTCAAGATAAAAAATAATCCCCCCCCCAAACTTTCTGGTCAAAACTAGTAATTTGGCATTAATTCTGAAAGAAGAAATATAATGTGTGATCTAAGCATAAACTGTAAATTTCTCCACATCTACCTTATGTTGAGAAAAGGAGTCTTGTGGCAATCTTAAGACTTAACAGAATCTCTTATTCCAAAAGCTGCAAGATTCCATTTCTCCCCGTACCCTGAAACAGTGTATGCTGGCTCCCTCTTTGAAAATTACTTAAATCAAAGACCATGCCTTAGTATTACAGAAATTCAAACCTACAATGAATTGATCATATAGGAGTGATAAATGGAGTTAATTCAAGAATTTAGGTTTCACCCCTGTTAAGGAAGGAACACTTAACCAAACTTGACTGATTCTTGAAAAGGCCTTTGTATAATGTGTCCCCACAGTCACAGCTCTCCTAGTGAAATTGTTTCATTTGTGAGTAGTATGCATAGATGTTTAGTGATTTCTGATATTCTTATTTGGAAACGAAAGTACGAGAAGCCTTTTGAAAAAAATTCCAAGACTGCAAAAGCAGTTATGTTGTTACAAATGCTTTATCACCAAAAGCTTTTCACGGGGACTTCTCAAAAACCAATGCCAGTGTGAGAAGACCATTTTTCCTTGTTTTACACGTAATTTATTTCCTTCCTACTATTACAAATATCTTATCTTCCTCTCTCTGCCTTGAAAAAAGCACCTGCCTAAAATGTGTAGATATATACTTTTCAATTGCTATCCAAAAATACCAAAGATTAAATGTTTCAAGCTCTGTTCTCAAGATAGACATGTTTTAAATTTCCACAAAATGGCTAAACAAAGGTTATCAGAACAAAAAAGGTACCGCTTCAGTCCTCTCTCTGCCTCGCAATGTTGGCCCTATCACTACTCTTCTTTTTTTAAAATGGAGCAGAAGTCTGTGTTTTGTCACATTTTTTGTGCAATCTAATTCTCATCTTTCCTAGACCAAATAAATGGAGCATGAGGGATCTCTGAGCCACTGTACAATTCATGCTGAGATTCTTCTCTACATATTCAGCAACCTGTTCACATAATCACAGCAAAAAATAAATAAAAAGTAAATAAAAAATTTAAAAAATGCACAGTCATATATGGCTGTTCTGGCTAGGTTTGGATGATATTTCTTGGTTTAATAAACTATGAGTATTCCACTCTTTCCCTTCGCTTCCTCCACACGTGTGATCACTTTAATGCGTTATTTGTGGCTTCTAGTGAGCTGACTGGATTGCTCAGTGGTTTAGGCATGTGGCTGCGGAGCCAGAGGTTGGGAGTCTGATTCCGCACTGCGCTGCCTGCAAGTAGAGCTAGCCTGTGTGGCCTTGGGCATGCTGCACAGTTCCCCAGAAGAAGGGAATGGTAAACCACTATTCGGTACTCGCTACCTGAAAAAACCCTAAAAAGAGTTGCTGCCATCAGTCAGAATCGACTTGACAGCACTTGACTGAGATTGCCAGTGTAGTTCAGTGGACAGAGTGATGGACTCTGGAAAACTGGGTTTGAATCTCTGCTTAGCCGTGGAAACTGGGTGATGGAGTGGAACTGGTAAAACCACTCCTTAAACATTTCACTTACCTTGGAAGCTCTATTAGGGTAGCTGTAAATTGGTTCCAATTTAACAGCACAGAACACACAGTAAACTAGAGTTTCCAATGATGTCTGGATTGCACAGGCTTAGCTTAGGGTTTGTTTAACACAACATTAGGTAAGCAACAAATCTGATTCTGGCCTAATTATCTTGGCCTATTCAGACATTAAACTAAAATTCTGTGGTTTTGACATGCCAAGATGCTCTGGCTTAACTTAAACCAAAAATGAAGTGACAAAATGAACATGTGGAAGAGGGGCATAAACAGAATGGAAGGACTGATTAATTCCAGCTTCATTAACCATGATTTATGAAGTCAAGAAAGATCATCTCAATCTGGTGTATAAGTCCCTCTCAGTTACCTCTTCTGCTCTTGAGCCTTAGGAAAGGCTACGTGAACTCAAAATTCATACAGAACTAAACAAAATCGGTACATATTGGCATATAACAGCTTGGAGCCCCTGACCTGATTGCTAAATATGGACAAAGAGGTTACCTCAAGGAGTGCCAGTAGGCAAACAGCCAAAAGCACTCAGGTCTTTCCAAGCTTTATCCAGCTGAACAAACATCAGTCAAACAAAGCCTTGCTTTAGGCTCTGTTGTTTGACTGAGGCCCTAGAAATTTCTGGCACTATATCTAAGAATCATTACCACAGAGAGAAAGACAAATTAGTTGATGTTAGAGAGGAACAAAAGGCAGGAGAGGACATCATGTAGATACAGATTCCTTAGTTCAGTTCTCAGGTGCTCATCAATTTGCTGAAATTTAGCACAGAGCTCTCCTGCAGAACATTCTCAGCAAATCCAAAATAACTAATAAAGGACATGATTATTAACAACACCCCTCAATTCCTTTTTGCTGTGAACTGAAGGTGTAATTCAAGTAACATATTTATCATGGCTGAGTTTTCCTTTCATAATAGCTTACATGTGTTTGAAGGGGGGAACTATCCTAAAGAGAGCCAGGATTTGTTGGAATTTTTCCAAGATTGAGCTATCACAATGCTACAAAAAAAAAAGACAAATCCATCCATGTTAACTTTAAAAGTCTCAGCTTCAATATAAGGCAGAACTGTTGTGCAACTGATACAAGATAATAAACTTCTAGAGATAACTCTCAATCTGTGCAAAGTTTCTCTCACTTGTTCATCTGCTCACAGCAAGCCACCCCTATTTCCTTCATATGATCCTTTTTTAAAGGCTAAGAATATTTCCTCAGTGCAAAGGGGAGAAAATTAATAAATCAAGCATCTTACTACAATGAGCTCAAGCAAGTGTGCCCCAACTGGTGTACCATACACTACCTGCTTCCTTAAGTCCTGAGCCGATCGATGAAGGGTGTGGTGGTTGTTCGCAGTGAGCCCTTTTGTGGAGATGCCTGCATTAGATGCAGAATGATGATTAGCAGCAGCTTGATCTTTCCGACTCTCAGACCTGTGTTCACTGTTTCTCTCCTTTGCTGGCGTTGCCTCTTTGATTTTGTGTTTCTGGACAGGTTCTCTCTCTTTCGTTGATTTGCTAGATCCATTGAAGACTGGAAAAAGAAATGCGAACAATTCATGAGATACATGCAAAAAGAAAGAAGGCAGTGAAGTAAACATTAATTCCAGTTCAGTTTGGTTTGACTCAGCCTTCTTTTAGAAACCAGAGGTGGGAGAGAGCTGTAGCTATGAAATAACACATTTAACTTGATACAAAGAAAACAGAAGAACAATGTCAAAGCAGGATATGAGATGGCTAGACAGATGATTGTCCCACATCTATGTCTCAAATGGGTTATGTCAGAGATCTATATTTCAAAAAGTGTTCAGACACTTCAGTGACTCCAAAATTCTGCAGCCACAATGTTTACCAGGGCTGGTTATCGGGTGCATAACTCTCTTATAACAAAATCTCCAGTGGCTACCAGCCTGCTTCTGGGCCAAAGTCCAAATGTTGGTTGAGATTCACGAATCCCCGAATGACTCAGGCCCAAGCTATCTGAAGGATCATATTTTCTCATACGATAATGCTCAGGTCCTGGGCTCTTCCCTTGTTCCTGCCAGGCTCCAGCATGTTTGGCAGGGACACAAGAGGGGGCGTTCTCAGTGGGTACTACGTTCACTCCCTCCTTTCTGTCCTTCAAGGTGCTAACCAAAAAACATTTTATTCAGTCAAGGTTTTGGTAAATGATAGGCAAATGAGAAAAGAGCTTTCAATGCTGAAACTTTTTTTTTAAAGCCAGTCAGCTTTTCAGTTGCTTTTAACTTTCTGTTTTTTTTTTATCTGTATTTCTTTGGTTAATCCAGTGAGCTCCCTTGAATCCCAAATTTGAGACGAACCAGATAAATAATAAAAGTCAGGAATAGTGAGATACCAAGAATAATGTATATTGCTACATTTTGCATCGTACGCGGAACAGAATGAGAAATACTTGAACAAGTAACAACGTAAGGGCAAGAGCAAAGAAGGTAGTTGAGAATACACATGCTTTCAAGTTTCCATTCCAGGACTCAGATCCCTTTTCAACCACAGCACCATTGTTGTCATGAACAAATCAAGCTACACACAAGAGGCTGAAACCCCTTTTCAGTGACTTTTGCTTTTATAGTGTGCAACAGAAGGAGGTAAAGTTGCTAAACATTTTAAGAAGATATAAAAAGGAGGAAAGTTTTAGGGGGTGCGAAAACAATCTCAAGTCCAATATACAGGTGACTACGCTTTTCCAGACAGCCCTACCATACAACAAGGTGTCACAACCGCAGAGAGGCCTGGCCAAAGATTGAAGTCATGATGACATGGAGTCATAAGTCTTACAACAGAGGCTTGCTCAACAGGATGCAGTGACCACGCCAAGACCAGCACCAGCAGCAACAATGGCAGCATCCACAAACAAGAAGTATATGCAAAATCCGCAACGAGTGTCCTTCCAAGGAAAGGTAGGAAGGAAGGCAGATATTGAAGTAGTTCACATTTATTGTTATTTAAATAAAATTTTTATCATTAGCTAGAATTCTACTGTGGATTTACATCAGTGTAAGTGCAACTGTGTAAGTACAGTGATGAACTGCTGTTCATTAATAATGTCTAATAATGTTTGTGTTCCTAGTTGTGTGACTAGGAATGTAAGTGGCAACTCATTTAGTGGAAATTTGCTACGGTAATTTACACAATTATGCTTATGCATTTATGCCAACATAAATCCAATACTGTATAGGATTCTGGCTATTATCTGCTTAAAGTATCTCTTTTTAAAGCTAATGTACTATGATGTACCTTCAGAATAAAAGCTTTAAATAGCTTGGGTTTATGTTGTCTATCCTGTCCTTTTGTGCTTTTAGGATTAAAAACAAACAAAGAGAGCCCCAATGCGATCATTGCCCAGGATTCTGCCAAATAATTAATTGGTGAACTGCTATGAGGCAATATCATTAAGCAATTATTTAAGAATAACCCAGCTCTACCATGTTCGTAACACAGTCACCATATCATTATCTCAGAAAACAGCTTAACCACTAAATTATCACATCCTCCATTTGGGTTCTGCCCTTGTTGTAATCTATATCAACTCTGCCTTCAGTCTTTCAAACCCTACATTTTTAAAGTTGATTAGTTTCTCTCCTTTTTAGCTGGATGGCCACCACAATGAATTTTTGGCATATTTCTTTGTGAAAAAGTTAGAAGTGCCAGAATTCTCAAAAATGCCTCTATATTATAATTCACCAGTTACATATAAAAGGCACTTTATAGAAGCCACTATCCACTCTTTACAAATGAGACAGCTGCAATTATGGGACAGTTATTATGTAACAATTCTATTGTAAAACATATTGGATTTCTGTGTTTCCAGTGAGATGGTGTGGAGTTTGCTTTCCGGAAGCATCAGAATATATGGAAAAGGTAGTTCTTTATTACCAGTTCTCCAGAAAGAAAAACTGTTTTGCAGGATTGAACTGGGACTTCAGGGAAAAGCTAAAGCATGTCTCTCTCACTTTCATTATTTCAGTCAACAGAAGCAGAACAGAGAGCCAAAAAACTAAGAAACAACTACAGCAGGTGTCTTTTCCTCCATGCAAAATGAACTGTGAGAAGTAACATTCCCCTCTGCCAAAATAAGCTGACCAGGCATCTCCTTTAGAACCCAACAAAGTAAGAACAGGGTGTAAAAGGCAAGTGAATTTATCACTGAATCCCAGGGAAAGAATGCGGAACTGATTTACTGTGAAGGTGCTGCCAATGTCAATAGAATATGTATTACTTTGGTGGGGGTATGGTAGCCCAGGTATTTTTTCATTCTAGCTCTTAAGAGCTCAGGGCATCAAGCTGCTCTGTGCTGAACACATTTTTCAAGCCCCACTGACAAGTCGTTGATCAATTTATTTGGATATGACATGATGGCCACATGAAGAAAATATGTCGTAACTAAGGTAGCTCTGCTGATTTGCAAGAAAATAATTGATGTGATCTAGAGGAACAAAAAATATGCTGCATTAGTGACGGTGATAATGTATTAACCTAGCAACTGGGAAAACAGCATCTCGGATCAGAAATAAAAATAATACTATTTACAGTGTGCATATGTTGCTGCTACTGCCTTCACACATTCATTTTATTTTCAACAGAGATGGGGGAGGGGGGGAGAGAGACTTACAGAAACGGCAAAAATATGTTCTGAGTGTGAAAGAATAAGCAAAGCCTTTAAAAAGACCAACATTTGCACTGATCTCCTGAGACAGTCAGAAGCCACTTGCTAAGAGTAAGAAACAGCTAGAAGATGTTAGCACAGCCTTTCCTGAAAGTGGAGCCCCCCACCTTGTCTGATATGTTGGAAAACTCCTAGCCAACAAGTTGCATAGCTGTGAAAGGTACCAGCTTGCAGAAGGCTGTACTAACATTTCTAATTCATTTTACAAGAATTAGTAAGAACCATTGTCTTCCAGCTTAACTCAATACAGTCAAGGTTGGGTTTTCGGTTTTGTTTGGTATTCAAGGACCTACCATGCCCATTAGGAACTTGCTTCTGTGTTTTCCCTTTCCTGGGGGTCGACTGGCATGATGAAGAAACATTATTTGTGGCCACCTTTGTGTCCTCTGCTTCTTCCTCTTCTTCTTCCTCTTCGTCCTCCTCATCTTGAGAGCTTCCAAAATATACCATGTTGCTGGGCAGGGCAGGAGAACCTAACAACAAGTCAAGTAAATAAGTATCATTAGATTGCACAGAAAAACTAATCTAAATTAAAACACAGTCTTTGAGTGCTATAGAGTGAGGGCTCTCTGGAAGTGACAAGAACATTTTGAGTTATAGGAATATTGCATTGCTTTCCTGTCTTTGCTGCTTATACTCTGAACGGCAGCATGGCAAACTGAAGTTTAGCATGTGAAACTTAACTGTTGTTTCTTTTTTTTTAATGTGCCTCGTGTTTTAAAAATCCATGAGCGGGGACAGAGGAGAGTGACTATTCGAGCTGGAATCTTGAATAGCATGGGCTGGCGTATGACTGTATGAACCAGGTAGGTTAAATGGCTAAAGCTGTTTTTTGTCTGATGGATTATCTTTGAAATTCAGCCTCTTTTATTTATGGCTTACAGCACCCTCTCCACACCTCAGCTAAAGGTGCCATTCAGTGTGACAAAGATACCCTTTTCTTCTCACACATTTACTTGGTTCACTTATGGTGGTATGTGACTATAGTTTAACAGTAAAAAGAATGTATGTTAAAACAATTAAATATTTCATCTGGAGAAAAGTCAAACTGGTATGTTACAACTGTGGATGAAATTATTCAAATCTAAGGACCTTTGCAGGCTCAAAAAAACTTGATTATTCTTTATGAATTATTTTTTAAAAACCCCAACAACTTTTATTTTCCTGTGTTGTCTTTCTTTACATAAAGCAAAGCAAAGCATGCTGCTTATATACCGCCCCATAGTGCTTCAAGCACTCTCTGGGCGGTTTACAAGTTAATTATGCAGGCTACACATTGCCCCCTCAGCAAGCTGGGTACTCATTTTACTGACCTCGGAAGGACAGAAGGCTGAGTCACCTTCAGACGGCTTCCTGGGACTGAACCCCAGGTCGTGAGCACATTTTTGGCTGCAGTACAGCGGTTTAACCACTGCATCACTTAAACACAATCCAACTGTGCTCTTAAGAAACACTAAAACAAGTTAAAACCTCTTAGCAATTTAAGGGTAAGGTCAGTCCCAAGGTATGTAAGCCTAAACTCTGGCCTAGTACAGTAATCATATGCCAAACGCTACGTTTCTACAGGACTAGAGATTCAACTAATGGAGTGGGGGCATTTAAGGACTATGTATAGGTGGAAAATTCTAGACACATTTCCTTGCCTTCACCATCATACTCAGAATATAAGGTCTAATGTCTGCTTACATGCAGGCCTTGTGCCAACACAAATGTAATCTGGCACATTTAAAACCTGATTTCATACTTGTCTCACAAACACAGAAGACCCATAGTATAAAAGAGAATTAAGTCTGTAGTTTACTGTTGCTTTCTGAGCATATAATGTTGCTTTCTGAGGAGTAATCACAGGACAGAATGCACTAAAACTTCAATAAACAGGGAAGTGCTTGGCTGGGTCAATTTAAAGTTTGCATACCAGGCAAGAAGCAGAAAGACAGACTGTCCTTCAAACATGGGCCCTCCATCACTGATGGACCATGAATAGGTGGGTATTATGGCTATGATATACAGCCAATTTCTTCTCTACCCCCAACCCCCACGGTTTGAAAGCAGTGGAGCATGGGACAATTGTTTATTCTTTGTGAGAGAGAAATGGGGAGAAAATTAGAGGTTGCTTATTCTTTGTGGGGAGAGACAAAAGGCAATGAGGGGAAAGATCAGAGATAAGTGAACATTTTTGAATCAGTTCTTTTTCCCTGCTCCAGAAAGGGCAGAAAGATAAACAGCAATGAGAATAACAGAAAATGTTAACATTTTTTAAAGCCCCAAACGATTCTTCTACAAAAATTGTGATTTTTATTCTTATTTTAGTCAAACTAAGGTATATTGGAATAGTAAGCATCCTCTTGTAAAGCAACTGGATCAAACTATTGAATAGTAAAAGTAATGTATCCTTCATTTCTGGATGTCAGATTTCAGAGTAACAGTCAATGTGCAAACAAAATACAAATTATAAAAAGGGGAACAGCAGATAACTGTGTGCTAATACAAAGCTCATCTTTATTAAGGGCATGAGTGAGCAAAGTACCAACTGTAAGCTACGCATGGCCCCTGGGGACATTTCAGTAACTTCCCCAACTGTCCCCAAATTAAAAAAGGAGGAATTTTGGTAACAAAAAACTATTTTTCTGTTACTAGAAGCTTATAAGGAGCAACGGCTTTCACGTTCAACATGTCAGGGGGACCTCTCTAACGAAAGACATCCCACCATTGCTCTTAAGGAAATGAACCAACTGAAAGAATTGGTCAGGACCCCGTATCAACTATTTGGAAAATGGCTGATTTCAATTTGGTGTAAGCCAAGAATCCTGGAACACTAATGACACTGAGAAATCCAAAGATGCCTCCCACTGAATACAAAGGGAAATATGTACATGAATGGGCTATGACTTTGGCGTCTTTTCCTCTTTTTTAAAAAAAAGACTCACACAGGTTTTCAGGCATCAAACATCCAGGCGCCTGCACCCATTCTTCTGAAACTCTATAGCTTTTTGTATTAGAACAGCTATACAAAGTGTGCAGTTTTTCACACAACTTGTCTCAAAGACTAGATGAGAAAAGGGTCGACAAATTGTATGCCTTTTCCCTATTTGTTTACTCCCTTGCCACAAAACTACTACTCTCAACCTTACAAAATTCTGTAGCTTTATAAACTGCAGTCACTTCACATCATGTTCATTCTCATTACAACTGTCCAAGAAAGAAAAGCGATTTAGTGCCCCTGCAGGTTCAGATCTGAAAATTCTCACCTCCACCCTCATTCCTTCTACTGATGACATACTATATTCAATTTCACTAAATCATCCTCCATGCACAAAATGAAACTAAAGAGGATGTAATCCTATATACCTTTCTCAGCAAAGCATGCTGCCAATTCTAGCCAATAACCGTTTTAGAAGCCTTGTTCGCATTGCACTGGCAAACGATTTCTCAGATAGAGCCTTCAGGCAGATCCTCTAAACACTAAAATGACCCTTACATAGAAAACCCCAAGTTTCTGAGATGTTCAGACTTAGTTTTCCAAGTTAGCAGCTTTCTTTTCTAGAAGCACATTTTTAAATGCACAAGAGCTATGTGAATTCCAACCTGTAGGTTAAGTGTTATAGCCCATCAAAAGTCTATTGTTTGGTGAGAAGCAGGCCTCTGCCTGAACCACAGCATAAGGGCCGAAGAAGTGACAACAAACTGTATGTGACAGAGGAGGACAACACTATTTTAGAGGAAAGGATATTATGGTATCTTAGTCTGGGAACTTCTGCTCTATTTTTTCAGTGTTTGCAAAGAACAATACAAAGGAAAGCATTCATATCATTTGATTCACTTGTTTGGAAAAAAAATCAATTTTATATTAGTGCAAGTAAAAGTGGCCTAAAGGTTTGTACCCATTGTCCAGAAGACTGCGACTAATTGAAAAAGGCAAGTCACTCTGAATATGGTCGGAGGTATCCCAGTTATTGTATGTTCCAGGCCTGCCCTCCTCATTTAAACAAGTTCTTGAATCTGAGACCCCATTTCACTTATATCCTAGAGGTATTAAATGCTAAAAATATTTTAAGTCATTCATTCATGTTTTGCTGCACAATTAGCCAATTATTACTGAAGTATTTTAATACATAATAGTTTCAGTCTAACAAATATAAATTTCTTTCTGCTACCTATGACAGACTACTGATCCACTGTGGAGAAATGCATGAAACAGAAACCCTGAATCAAGGAAATAAAGAAAAGACTGTGTATTTCTAGACTGACAAATCTGAATGTTTCTTGTTGTGAAATGTATGCATCATTCCCATATAGAAACAGGGATCTGGTTATGCTGATTTATATGTAATGAGGCAACTTTACAACAAAATAACTATAATTTAAACAGAAATTCTGTGTTTCAACATACTGGGGAAGACTGTAATCTAGGTGCTTATTTGATCTGCTGCTCATGTGCCAACCTATCATGGGCAATTTCTTGACATTGCTCTTTTTTTCTACAGTTCTTTACTGTGGGGAAAAACAGGCTTACATGGGACAATGTTTGAAACAAAGATGAGCCACTGAGCCACTCTAGAACACTCAGATCTTTGAGAAAATAATTTTTAACACTAGAGTGGAATTAAGTATGAGGCCAGAAAGTAAATAAAAACAAATCCATTCCCTTATGCTTTGTTTTTAGAAGCCCTTTTTAAAGTGCCTCAATAAATCTGTAGTATGCTTTGAAATGAGTTTCTGTTTAAGGTGTACCCAAAATGAATGAAGCTGAAGAAAACCCTGTGTTATCAGAAGGCTATTATGATATTTCAGAGATAGGAAGGACTTGTGGTGGTGGTAGGGTAAGAAACTCTTTGTTTACCATTCTTTTTGTATACAATGCTTTAAACTGCAAGACCTTTAAGAGATTAAGCAAAGTAAGAAGGGCATCACCTTCCAAAGCAGTGATTTGCTAGCACAGAATTAAACTGCTGGTTCCCTTAGAAATAAAAGCAGTGGATACAGTTCTTATATACTAGAAAGTATAAAAGAGGCCTTTACAGTACTAATGTGCTCCTTGTACCATGGTAAAACTGACCACAAACATTGTCACTCTGCAGTTGTTCCTCATAATCCAGTAGCTGCTACATAGGAAATGTCTTACGGGCAAATTATTTCAGTGGGCTCAAATGAAGTTAATAGGACTCAGATACATTGCAAGATAATTCATTTAAGTTTGGACATAATTTAAAACAGAATGTAAGAGCGGGAAGCTGGGAAAGAAACACTATCAGAAGTGGGAAAGAAGCAAATCATTAAAATGGTACTGAGAATATATGAAATGGTCATAATATAGTAAATGCTTTTTTTAGTGCTGTAGGATGTCTCTATATTATAGAGCAAAAGCAAAATGCTTTTTTAATGCTTTAGGATGTTTCTATTTTTTATACACAGTTACAATTTACTATAAACCTACTGACAAAATAAGAACCGTATTATGCAGAGAACATGCCTTAACAGAACAACCTTCCACAGATACTCAATATTTCACGATAATACCATAATATAAACCAACAACAATCCCAGTCTCTTACAGAAGTAAAATTTCTCATTACACAACCACTAATATTCTTTATGACTTTATAATTTTAGTATTAATGGTTTGTTTTTTTTCTCTCGTTTCCCGATCAGACTTCACTATATCACCTATTGTAAGAGCTTGAAAGTTATTTTTTTAAAAAAATAATAATTAGTTCATTATCATTCCAAGGCATCCTACCTCAAAGTTGTCAGTGAGCTGTATAGTCACGTTTTTAAAACACCAACTCTTCACTTTGTATTTTTTTCAAAAGTAATTGAAATTGGTACATTAGGTTGCTTCTGTAAAAATGTGAAAGTTAGTGTATGCTGCTCTGTTGTACAAAACACAGCCTCAAGCATTCACAACAGAACGAGAGGCACAGCAGAAGCCAGCACTGGAACCTTATGGTATTCGTCCTCTGCCATTTAATGAGGCAACCTACAAACGTACTAAAGCCTGTGAAAATTTACAGTAACACAGCAAACAGCTAAAGACCCCTTGTTAAGTCAGAATGATAAGGTAATGTAGTTACTTCTGCTACAGAGAATGTAATTAGTTACCTCCAGGCTCTGGCTGAAACCCTGCTGCACAGTTAAGTCCCATTACAGTAAGCCTACTGACTACTGAATCAGCAGGGATTTGGTGAGTCCGATCCTCTGTAAGCTCTATTGTTTCAAATGGGCCAACTCTAGCTGCAACCTACTATGCTAGAGTAAAGAAGGTCGTTTTATATCAATGGAAATTCTGCAGGAGTTCACTCACCAAATACCTGCTGATTCAATGGTCTACTTTAGTGTAACTGACTACCCCAAACCTCAGGATTATCAGCCCCTGTCTATTACCACTTCCACTGCTGTTAATCTCTCTCAGGGCTACCTTGCTTCCTGAGTCATTTTCTGTGGTCGTCTGTGGAGGTTGTCTAGGAAATAGGACAGAAGGGCCGCTCTCTGGCAGGTATGGCCCCAAGACTGGCATGGTGGGGGGAGAAAACACTCACCTCGAAGGCAGAGAAATGTCAGGAAGTCTTCTGTCTTGGGCTTCCTTTTGGAGAGGTCAGAAATCTGTGTAGCTGGAGGGGGCAATAAAGGTTCCACTATCTTTATTGGAGTTGTGCTGGGGCTGTTTGGCTGAGACTGAGCAAACTTTCTTTGTGCTTGCAGCCTTGGCCTAAGAGAAACAAAAGGGGGGAAAAAACACAAATGCAATTAGGAGGTAAGGAGGCAATGCACCAGTTGAAGCAAGATAACCCAAGGAACGCCAGCACTGCTTTTTTTTCCAAAACACATCAACAGTATGTTTCTAAATAAGATAACCAGCTATGAATCCATCAGAAATATCAAGCTGTGACCCTGTAAAACAGCTTATATAAAACCAAAAGAAAAATAAAAAATAAAGAAGACAAAAATATTGTCTTTTATTTTTCTTAAGGTTTTGCCTGATATGCTAGCACAGACTGACATGACTACCTTTTCTAAAACTTATACAAAAAGTTTCATTAGGAGAGAAAGAGTAAATTAAGGTATAAATTGCAGATGCTGGCTGGCTAGCTCAGTGAGTTAAGTACGTATGTAGCTCTGGAGTCACAGACTTGGAGTTCAATTTCCCTACTGTGCATCCTGGAAGAGCCAGCCTGCGTGGCCTTGGGCCCAGGACGGTCCCAGAAGGGAGTACTCTCTCCCCAGAAAACCCCAAAAAGGGTCACTATAAGTCAGAACTGATTTGACAGCAGACGCACATGCACACATCTGCAAACATGTACGAGAATCATGTAAATGAGAAGAACAGAAAGGTTAGGCAAAAGCAGGGCATGATACAATAGTTAACTACATTCAAAGTTTAACACCAAAGCAACTACGAAGATAAATATGGTATCTGGGTTTTACTACATTGGTTGCAAAAAGTTTTGCTCGTTTCTTGCATGGAATAACATTTTGTTTTTCAATCCTCTTAATGGCTGATTCCATTTAGCTTCCCTTCCTCCCCTGCACAAGACCAGGTATAAATATATCTGCTGCACATCATATTTGAACTATCAATCAGTATATTTTCAGCTTCCCATCACTTTCAAGTATACCTTGGCAGTATCAGAACAAAAATCACATCTATCGTAAGTAGAAAAGATGCTACATTACCTTTTATTTATTTATTTATTTAATTTAATTTATATGCCGCCCACTCTACCCAAAGTTGCATATGATGCACTAGTCTGGTGTCACATGAAATGCAGAAACTACTTTGTAGGACTGTATGACTCAGGACTTGGCCAGATGGCTCAGCAGGAGTGGGCTGGATTGGGCTAAATAAGATCATACAGAGGTCCAGTATGCCATTTGATAAGATCCTTGAATCCACATAGCACATGCACCTCAAGTGACCTTAACTGGCCTATTTCTTAAGTAAATAAAGGGAAGGGGAAACTCTCCTTGCCACCATCCCATCTCCTCCTCCTTCTGGGAGGAAGCTTTAATATATTTTTAAAATATTTTTCTAAAAGGTATAGCGCATTGTTGTTGTTTAGTCGTGTCCGACTCTTTGTGGCCCCACGGACCAGAGCATTAGTCCTCCCCTAATAGGCGTAACAAATTTGCTTCTGCCCCTCTGCTCCATGGAAGCGCAGAGGAAGTTTTTTATTTGTCAATTGTCATTAAACTTAACAAAACTGGGAAATTGAAATTGGGTGGGAAATTTAAAGCAGAAAGCTCTGTTTTAATTCAATCTCAGCAATTATACATGTTGGAAATGAACCAAAACAATCCTACCTGCACTTAAAAAGGAGTAGCCTTTGACAGGGAGCCAGAAGGGTACAGGTAGGAATGCTCTGGGGATGGGCTGGTTCACACAAACACTTACATTGGCTGGTCATAAGCAAAAGGAGCAATCCAGCACATCCCCACAGTGGATGGAACAGTGGGACAATTGCCCATGAAGTCATCCCATAGTTTCTCTCCATTCCAACACCGAACCTCCCTGGATGCTAACAGTATTAGCACTTGAACCATGACATGATCATACCACAAAGTCTGCATATCAGAATATTATCAGGACAGTAAGGAACATAACCACACATAAGTAGGTACTATGTCATACAAATAATGAATGAACCGTTCCTACCTGTAAAAAGGATACAAGATCCTCTGCAGTGGTGAGACCTTATGAAAATTTCAAGATGACTATTCATGCTAGATAAATACTACCATGCACTTGAGCCAATTCAAAATATGACTAATATGACTGAGCAGAAACTCAGACAATCTAGTGATGTCCTTTGTGCTACCTTTGGCCTGAGGGAGACCTTTGCTCAAATTAGATTTCCTTTGGAGATCAGCCAACTCAGTCCAATTACATAAGAATTCTTGCTTAGCTGTAAGACATCTAAAGAACCAACAATCCCTGACTAGCTCATGCCATTGGTTTTGTCACAGTTGCAAAACCACTTAAAACAGTGCCAAATTCATGCCACTCAGGCAGTCAAACAAACACATGCGGCTAGTTTCATCTGCATAAACACACTACCAAACTCTCCCTTTACACAACATTAGTGAGCATCACCACAAGTTTATTCACATTTTTTTTCTTTTTATAAAGAACAATATTATATTAAGTATCAACTGTAGTTTTCCACAGCGTAAGAAAAAAAATATCACAAGAACATCTGTTCCTTTGGTATAAAAGGAAAAAAGGAAAGAGAAGGTGGGGAAGAACAGAAAAATTCTTAAAACACATTGATGCACATTAGCCATTAGTAAAACTTGCAGATTAGTAGATTTCCTTTTCCCCCCTAATCCAGGGTAGAGATGTGCATACAGTGGTGCCTTGCTAGACGTTGATAATCCGTTCCACTGAAATCGCGGTTTAGCGAAATCATTGTCTAGCGAAAAGCATTTCCCCATTGGAATTTATTGAAACCTGTTTAATGTGTTCGATGGGGAAGAATCGTGGTTGTCTAGTAAAGATCGGCCATAGGAAAGCCGCTTTGCAAACTGCCAATCAGCTGTTTAAATCACTGTCTTGCGAAGCTTAGGTCCCGAAAACACTTGTTTTGCGAGCGCGGAGGAAGCTGTCAAAATCGTTGTCTAGCAAAAATTGGTTTGTGAAGCAGGGACCAAACATTGTCCAGCGAAATTCCCCCATAGGAACCACTGTTTTGCGAATCGCTATAGCAATTGCAAAAAGTCAATGTCTAGCAAAAAAAAAAAACTGTCATGCAGGATAACTGTCCAGCGAGGCACCGCTGCATTGTCAGGAAAGTTCAGCCGGTCCCAAATATAGCAGTCAGATTGTGAACTGGGCTGGTTACAGGGATCACACAACCCCACTGCTACAGCAGTTCCACTGGCTGCCAATCAGTTTCCAGGCACAATTCAAAGTGCTGGTTTTAATCCATAAAGCCCTAGATGGCCTGAGTCCAAGCTATCTCAAAGACCATGTCTCCCACTATGAGCTGGCTCAGGTGTGTTAAGATAATCAGGGGAGGCCTTTCTCTCAGACCCATCACCTTCACAGGTGTATCTGATGTGAACACAGGAGAAACCCTTCTCTGTGACTTCTCCCAGACTTTGGAACTCCCTCCCACAGGAGACCAGGCTGGCTCTATTTTTGCTGTCCGTCCAAAAGCAGGCAAAGACCTTTTTCTTCAGGCAAGCTTTCTTTCAGTGACTACCTACATGGCTGGCTACATGAATGACTTTTCAGTGGATTGTTATGCATTACTGCTCTGACTGGGTCTTTAGTACTACAGTGGTGCCTCGCTTAACGAGCGCACCGTATAATGACGAATCCGCATAGCGATCCCATTTTCAGGATTCCTAAGGCGGAGGCATAGCGTCGGCCCCAATGGGCAAAACTCGCATAGCGAAGATCGGTAAGCATTTCGCTTACCGATCTTTGCTTTGCGATGCCCGTAGATCAGCTGTTTGGCGGTTTCAAAATGGCTGCCGGACACCCAAAATGGCAGCGCGCAGCGTTTTCGCTTACCGAGGGGGCGAAAATGGCTGCCGGACCCTGGAAACTTCGCGAAAGGGTGAGTTTTGTGCCCATTTGGAACGCATTAAACCATGGGCTTCCCCGTTCCGTTTAGCGAAGTTTTTACATAGCGAAGGTTAATCCGGAATGGGGGGGCACCACTGTACTTGTGTTTACCATCTCTGAGAATTATATTTGTTTGTCCTTTTTTAATACAGTATTTGCATACTTATTGTTCTAGTTTTGATATTGTCTTTTAATGATGCAAGCTGCCTCTTTATACTCATTGCTCTGAGCTTTAAATATTGTCTTTCAGCGATGCAAGCCACCTTGAGTACTTTTTAAGGAAATTTGTGTTTTAAGAAGCTGTAATCTGGAGGTTAAACATATAATTCGTCTGAGGAAAAAGTGGACCTGATTCTACTTTCTCCCAGTTGTGTTTTACGTTTTTCTCATAAACATAAACAGTAGGGATTCTGGTAGAAAATTCTTAGATCGGACTGAGACCAAAGAGGTAAGTGTTGATTCAGAAAAAGAAAAAAAGAGGGATGAAGATCCAGTTCCAGTAGGAGTTACAGCAGGATCACAACTCAGTCTCTGCCAAGTTCTCTCTTCATCCCTAAGTAACAACTGAAGAAGGTATCTAGGGCAACAGAAACTACTTGCTAAAGTCACAGGGTCCATAGCCCAAGGAGCCTCTCACCTGCAGTGGGGAGGGATACTGTTCATAAAGCTAAAGCTCTCCCTTGATATAGTACTATAAGCGAGTTGCATATATTGTGGAAAGGTATGTCATATATGTGGGGAGGGATACTGTTCATAAAGCTAAAGGTCTCTCTTAATATAGTACTATAAGCGAGTCACATATATTGTGAAAAGCTATGTCATATATGGTATTTTAATGATGTTATCCACCATTGTATACTCATTGTTTTCAACTTTAGACTTGTAATATTGCCTTTCACTGTTGTAAGCCACCTTGGGTCCTTTTCAAGGAGAAAAGGGGAGGGGGGTAAAAATACTTAAAATCAATCAATCACGACTGCTCTGGGCATGGGTAAATGTCACAGCAACTTTATAACCCCTTTAATTACAAACAAGGAACATCTGCTTGTTGTTTATGGCAATCATCAATACATCCAATAATCAGTAAGTTCCAAACTACAACCAACACTTGTTTGGCACAAACAGGCAGACAGACAAAC